CAGGACGTCGAGATTGGTACCGCCGTTGTGCTCGGTGTGTCCCGTACCAGTACGATACGTCTTGGAGGCGGACGGCCGGGCGTCCTGAAAGCCGTGCGCCTTCTTCAGCTGCTTGGCCGACTCGAGGACTAGGTCGATGCGGTCGGCGCCCTCGTAATTCACGCAGCCGCGACAAACCGGCTCCGAGAAGTCCATTATCATCGCCCAAGGCATCCTGGGCAGGTCGCACAGATAACACTGCGTCCGTTTGCCCATCATCTTGTCGGTGAAAAACGTAGTGTCGGCGCCGAGGGTCTCCCGCTGTTTTGGTAATGGTAATGGCGATCTGGTAACCTGGAGGGGGGGGGGGAGTGAACGTTAATCGTCCACCGTGTCGCTCTCGGTCAATTATCACTTCACATTCACTGTTTGTCTCGCGTGCACGTATTATCTCCCGAGGGGCTCCTCTTATCTCGTTTAGCCGCGAGCTGTATCGGAGTTATCCCCGCGTTTAGTCGTCCGCTTTGTCTACCACCTCTCTTTCTCTCCGTTATATGCCTGTGAGCACGCACACACACACACACGCGTATACACATGCACTCTTATATATCTTACGCATACGTTCTTACGCATACACGCGTCTATTTTCTTTATTCGGTTTTAGTATCGTATACTTTTTTTCACATTATTTTATTCTGTATCACTTTATTTCATGTACTATTTGAGAAATACGGTCAATTCTCTCTTCCTTTGTTAATTAGTCTTTGTGCTCGAGGAGACTTGTCCCATAATAAACGACGCTTTCTCTCTCTCTCTCTCTCTTTCTCTTTTCTCGAGTCACTCCGCTCCACGAAAGGAGAATAGATTCCGACCGCGCGCACTACTCGTCCGAGAAATAACAACCGGCGCTCGAAATAACGACAAAGACAACGATAACGTCAACCTGCACCTCCCGTCTCGCGCGCACTCCGTCGTCTCCGTCGGCGCGGCTCGCGAGCACATGAGCCGCGAGAGGACGAACGCGGAACGCGTAGCGCGACGCCTGACGACGCCCGACTCGACCGCACCGCTACGCCTACGCGACGGACAGCCCGGACAGACCGGAGCGGAGCGGAGCGAACGACCCAAGTCCGCGATGGCGCCGTCAACGATGGCGATGGCGGGAATCCGCGGCGTCACTTCACTCCCCAGGGAAAAACTCGCGTCTCGCGCGCGGCCCTCGAAGGAGACGCTTCGAGACGCCCGCGTTACGACCGATATCTACGCTCTAATATATCCTCGCACTGTCTCGCACTGTCTCGCACCGGAAAAAGAGTAGCGGCGAAGCACCGCGAACCAGCGAACGCGAGGCACACGCGATCACGGCAACCGTTGTCGCGCCGTTATTTATTACAATCGCTCTCCGATTCTCTCTTCTTCCTTGGCAAACACCGACACACGAGATACGATTTACAAACGCGCGAAATTAAACACGGATCTCTCGACGCGACAAGGACGAGACGTGTCTGGCTGCCGTACGAAGAGACGAACGCTCGAGAATGCGGCGGTTACTCTGGCCCTCTGGGTACCTCCGTCGGAGTTCCCACCTCTCATTGTCAGCCTTAGCCCCGTCTCTCTCGAACCCATCGGCCACCTTTCTCTCGCTCCTTCACCACCGTCGCATTCGCCATTTGCTTTCGGCCGTTCGGCGTCGCTCCAGTCGCTCGCTCACGCGATCCCCTCTAACCCCTCACGGCTCGCCGTTGAATCCCCGTCCCGTATGCAGTCTGCTAGCTCTCACTCTCTCTCACTCTCTCTCTCCCTCTCTCATTCTCTCGTTTCCTCTCGCGCCCAGTCCTCCCGCCCCTCGCACGAGAGCCATTGCCAAGCTACCTCCCCTCCGTCCCGTGACATCCTCGTCTCTAAAAAAACAGCTACGACGCGACGACGACGACGACGACGACGCGCTCCGCCAATCGGACGTTGTGGCGTCATGGTGGATGACGTCATAATCGCGAGGTTGCGCATGCGCGCCGTGGAGTGCCCTAGGGGGACACGTAGGCAGCGACCGGGATCCGGTGGAGCACGGCAACGGGCAGGGACGCGCGGGGAGGGTTCGGAACGTCGAGGATCGAGGGGGGGTTGGGAGGCTGCATGCTGTGTGCACGCGCGCGCGCGCGCGCGCGCACGCTCTCGCATCAACCCGGCGCGGCGCCCACTCTTCGCAATGAACAAGCCGGTTTTACACAGCCGTGAAAACGCTCTCATCTCTCGGAGACACGAAGACCAAACAGTACTCCTTACTGTATCGGCGATTATTCTTATCGAAGTATCTCAACTATGGTGAGAAAAATGGGGACTGGTATATCAGGACTGACGTGACGTTGTGTATACGAAGATCTCACGATTATTTATAATAAAATGCATCGAGTCACGTAGAGAGACGGCGGTCGCGGTTATCGCGCCGCCGCGCCGGTGTTTTTCAATCATTTTAAGCAACTGGCGAATATCGCTGACACGATACGAGATACGCCGGCCGTGTGTATGGATCAATAAACGTTGATGCCGAATTTTGAAGGTACCGGGGATACGTGCTTGTGTTAGAATGCTTCGGAGGCATCTCGAGTATTTCGGCGTCTTCATAGGCGGCATCACCGGATTGTCATAAAATTCTATCAAAATTTGTGTTATATATCTACAGTTATTCTATTAAATTCATCAAGATAATTGTTTTTAATTCAATTAGCAAGATGGACAAGTTTACTGCTATTTCCATCTCCGTTAGAGTACGTAGATCTAAAGCAGTAAAGATCGATTCTGTATCTTGAAACGAGGTGAAAATTACGAAAGTGAGCAAATTTACTAGGTGTTGACCAATGAAATTATCAGTATTCTAGTAAAATTCGCTCACTTTTGTAATTTTCACTTCGTTTCAAGATACAGAATCGATCCCCTGATTGGCTCATCGGCTTCAGTTCACGTCTTGAGGTTATTGTTACAGAAATTTTATCTGCGGCAACCCCTACTCTCTTGTGTTCTTACTCTTTTACTCTTTTGTTTATCCAATAAGTAAATTACCACAGAGTTTATCTATAAAGATGGAACAACTGGCCCTTAGACTTTCTTTTAACTATACATGTTATGAAGTATTTACTTTGATTTGTAATTATTTGTAGTTATTTTTTTAATTCTAAAATTATTGTAATTTGTAGTTTCATTCGTAGGACTTAAATTTAGAAAAGTCAGCTGTTTGCGAACTTTTGCAAACTCGTATTACCCCGGATTTATGATAGATTTTTAAATAGATAGATCTTTTAAGTCATAAGGAATGGACGAATCATAATCACTTATTCTCCTCGCATTCGACTGTAGTTGGTCAATTTTTTACGGCTTAAGGCTTAAAACACCTTTTGTAGATCCGGACTTAACACGAAAGACCGGTAAGTAATTTGTATTTCTCGCTCGCGACTCTACCACTGTCCCCTCTAATCTCTGTGGCATAAACAATGATCATTATTATCGTCGTAGCCGCTGAGTCGGCACGAATGGCGCGTTACTTTATCGCTTTTCTTAGCGATAACACGGTCGGCGATAATGGTCGATAGGGAGTGCCGAGGTGTAGGTGCATTATCGCCAGTGTTATCGAGACGAAACGACATATGCGCTATGCGTCATCCTTTCAGGTTCGAATAACTCACAATCAGCTTGAGAATTGCTGCACACGTACACATTTTTAACATCTAAAAAATTAAATAAGCGCCACAATTCAAGCTGTAATTCGATATTAATTACAATATATCAAGTTAATAATTAATTTACATCGATAATCAATTTATATTAAGTAAGAGACGACAAAATCTAATCAGAAAGTCAAATTCACGTTGAAATTCGATAAATTTTAACTATATCATCACTTTCGTCGAATGTTTTCATCGTCAACGAGATATCTCGTCAGTCTGATAACGATTTATATAAGTCGTTACGAGGATTTCGTAATCATTGTTTTTTTTTATTTGCTGTTACGCTAAGAATCGCGAAAAATTACACTAAAATAAGCCATCCTCGGGGTCAAGTGAATGATGTGAAATTTGTGTTTATATCTCGGTTATTTACATAACACCGTCGATAAGATGCGTGCTAGTTTACATCATATCTCGAATTATTACACGCTCATTAATGACGCTCGCGCAACAATGTTCGCTAACGAGACGAGACGATTGAGGCAGTCAAGACGTCGATTATGTTGATCACAGCACGTCGGCGATCCGTCAGCGTGCAAAGAAAAAAAAGAAGGGAAGAGAAAGAACCGAGTATAGCACTGACGTCATAGGCAATTTGGTGAACGTCGACTATCACAGCTGCTGCGTGCTTTCCCTATCTTTCTCTCTCTCTCTCTCTCTCTCTCTCTCTCTCACCCTCTGTCTCTCTCTGTGGCTCTACCATATCGAAACTAGTAGCTTCTGTATTTGAACCCATTACTTTCAATAGATAATTACACACTCATTAATATTATTTACATTCGGAAAGTTGCATGTTTCTATCTTGTTATCACTTTATTTTTATTATTTTTTTCTTGTTATATTTTATGAAGCTCTTTCAGTACTAACTTTGGTTATATTCATTTTCCTGCTTTCTAATTTTTATAATTTTATGTAACTGTATGTATTTAACGCTCTAGAGGAGAATGTTCCTCTCTCTCTCTCTCTCTCTCTCTCTCTCTCTCTCTCTCTCTCTCTCTCTCTCTCTCTCGTCAAAACGAGAACCATCCGCCACGCGACTGACATCAATCTGACATAGTGCACGAGATCGTAACGTGAACCCTCCTCTCGAAAGAGCGAGAGACGATTTAGCCTCGACCATGGCGAGGGCAAGGAGTGGTATAATTAGACGAGTCGGCTTATCAGTGTCCATTCGTCGCCATCTCCGCTCGAGTCCGAGTAAACAAACGTTTCTTGCCTTGTCTGGTTATAAATATGTATCTCCCTCTCGAAAGCGTGTATTTAGATTAAATCGAGGAAATAGTAAAGAAAAACTGCGATCTTCTGCGAAATGTAGTGTCTAACAGATAATCGATAACGATATGCGTTACGTAACATAAGTAAATATAATAGAAGATAACGCGTATAAATTACATAAAATAGACAGATAATAAATTCTTACTTATTAAAAAAAAATGAATAATGTTATAGATAAAGTATTTTTTAAGACTGCGATATGAAAAGACAAAAAATAAGGAATCAAGATCTAATATCTACCTAAGCGATGTAATAAATCAGTGTGATTTGTCTGGATCTTCTTATATGTCTGAATATCCTTAATGATATCCGCGCGGTCACCGTTATCATCGACTCGTACTTATAATCAGATCTCATCTTTCTCTCAAGAGACCAAAGACATAGAAAATGGACTGCGCGATCCGTGTGTGAAAATGGTCGATAGGGATGAGAGAGAGAGAGAG